GGGGGGGGTAATGCTGCCGAGACGAGCAGGAGACTTTGCTGTTTTTACTCAGCTCACCAGTTACCAGAAGAGTGTGTTACAGACTGGGCATGTAGATTTGAAGGGTTATTGACCCGTGCAGACTCGTCTTTGTCGCAGGGGGAGAGGAATAGGAGGTTACACAATAAGTTTTGGTCAGGACTCCGCCAGGATTTGAGGGAGATTTCCGGGCACAAAGCTGATGCTATTGGCAGCTATGAAGAACTTTGCGTTGCAATAAGATCTATAGAAAGGGCACGTGAGAGGGCTATGGATACTTTCGACTCTAAGACGAAGCCAGCGACAGCAAAGGTAGTTAACACGACACCAGATACAGATGATTTGAAATCAATAGTCAACCAGCTTACTACCGCCATAAAGAGTTTGGAGCAGAAGTTTGATAAGTCACATCCGCCTTGTGGAAATAGAAGTCAGGGACACCAAGTTAGCGGACATGGTTTTCGTAGCCGAGGGAACGGTAGGTTTAATGGGAACCAACGAGATCGGCCAGACATTATCTGCTGGAGATGTCACACACCTGGACATGTGAAGGCGAGGGGTGAGATGGTGTTACCGGATAATTTAAACTTCCAGCCACCTACTCCGAGGGACCGACGGTAGGTGCTGATAGAACAGGTCCCGAGATACCAGCTACAATGAAGACTGCGAGGACAAGTGAACTTGTGGGGAGTATCGACAATCAGCGCGACTTATCTACAGAATTACTTACCCCACTTACCTGTTCGGCACTTAGACAAGTTTGTCAAGGTTGAGTGTGCTGATGGAGAACAGTTGCCTTACAGTGGTTACATAGAAGCCTTGATCAAGTTTGATGGCCTAGGCGAGACAAGGGAGGTACCTTGTTTGTTACTGGTAGTTCCCGAGAGTTTGTACAACTCGAAGGTCCCTTTATTAGTTGGAACCAACATACTTACTGTGTTGATGGATGACTGCCTGCAGGAGTACGGTGCTAGATATGCACAGACTGGTAAATTAGCTACACCATGGTTTTTAGCTTTCAGGTGTTTGTCATTTAGGAACCGTGACATGGTGAGAAACCAGAACGTCATCGCCCTGGTCAAGAACATCAGTAAGTCCAGGTACATTTTGAAACCAAATTCGACTCTGACGATTAAAGGTGCCTTAGATCGGAAGGTATTGTATCCACCTACGTGTGCTATGGTTCAACCATCATCCAGATCTACATTACCAAGTGAGATTGACGTCAGCCCGTCCTTGGTTTTATGTGACTTCGGGTCCGGCGACTTTGTTGATGTATTACTATCCAACATCACGACTCAGACTTACGTCATTCAGCCTAGTGCCGCCCTTTGTGAAATACAGCCAGTTACCGTTGAGGAGATGCCAGACAGCAGTCAGAATACTCTACCTGAATTCATGGAGAAGATCGATCTCTCTAACTCGGTGGTCACTGGAGATGACTTACAGGCTGGGATTGAACTCATCAAGAGTTATGAAGATATCTTTTCGCATGATGACAATGACCTTGGATGTACCAATTTAGTGGAACATCGTATTGAGTTATCAGATATCAGACCATTTAAACAACGCCACCGCAAGATACCCTCATCGATGTATGAGGAGGTTAGGATACATTTGCAACAGTTGTTGTCTGCAGGGATCATTCGACCTATAGCTAGTCATAGTCCTTTTGCGAGTAACATCGTACTAGTTAAGAAGAAAGATAACTCCTTACGCCTGTGTATCGACTTCAGAAGATTGAACACTGTTACTGTTCGCGACTCGTACGCCCTTCCTAGGATTGATGACATTTTGGAGTGTTTGTCAGGGTCGAAGTATTTCACCAAACTTGACCTCAAGTCCGGATACCCCCAGATTGCCATCGAGGAAGGACACAAGGAGAGAACTGCTTTTACGGTAGGCCCTCTTTGTTTCTGGGAGTTCAATCGCATGCCATTTGGGTTAACCAACGCCCCTGCAACTTTCCAAAGGCTCATGGAACAAGCTATGGGGGATTATAACCTTACCATTTGTCTAGTTTACATTGACGACCTGATTATCTTCGCAGAGACCTATGACGAGCATTTGGATCGACTCCAGAAAATATTTCAGAGGTTGAGGGAGAGTCATTTGAAACTGTCACCCAAGAAATGTGATTTCTTCCGAGATCAAGTCACTTATGTAGGACATGTGGTATCGTCAAGAGGAATTGAGGCAGACCCCTCCAATATTGAGAAGGTGCGAGATTGGCCTGTACCAACCAATGCTGATCAACTCCGACAATTTCTTGGTTTTGCCGGGTATTACCGGAAGTTTGTCCAGAACTTCAGTAGGATTGCCAGGCCGCTCAACGAATTACTTCCACCAACTCGTACTAAGAAGACCAAGAGAGCACAGCCAGCTACCACGCCTCCTTTTATGTGGCATGAGGAACACACTCACGCTTTTCAGAGGTTGAAGGATATTTTATGCAGCCCCGTGGTCTTGGCTTATCCGGATTATTCGTTGCCATTTGAGCTTCATGTTGATGCTTCTTGTCATGGATTGGGGGCTTTACCAGCAGCAGGGTGGTCAGTTACGACCTGTTTACTATGCTAGTCGAGGGATCAGCAAGTCTGAACGGAATTATCCTACCCATAAACTGGAGTTTTTAGGACTCAAGTGGGCTATAACAGAGAAGTTCCATGACTATCTGTATGGGAGGACCTTCACTGTTTATACTGACAATAACCCGCTGACGTACATACTCACTAAGACCAAGTTGGATGCAACAGGACATCGTTGGCTCTCAGCATTGTCAGCTCACACATTTAACATCAAGTATCGCCCAGGCAAGCATAACATAGATGCGGATGCATTGTCAAGACTACCCACACCGGCTACCAGTGAAGCTATTGAATGCCTTCGAGGGCACACAGAGAATGTTTCCTTTGACAGTGTTCAAGCTGAATGCCAATTAACTACTGAGGTGGGAGATTCTCTGGTGGAAAGCGTGTGCATGTCTGCTGATGTTGTTGATGCAATGGAGGATGATGTACCGGATGTCCAGACCATGACTCCGCAGATTTGGAGACAACTTCAGGCACAGGACCCTGTTATTGGCTGTTGGTTGCCATTTATCCGTCGTAACAATAAACCCACCAGGAAAGAAGTACCATCTAATCCCGACAACGCGACTATGACAAGGGTTTGGGATACGCTGAAGCTCAAGCGGGGTGTGCTGTACAGATGTATGCAGCAAGGGAACTCCATAACTAGTCAGCTGGTTCTCCCGTCATCAATGAAAGAGAACGTTCTCATGTATCTGCATGATCATGTTGGTCATCCTGGACGTGACCGGACAATGTCATTGATTCGAGACATATTCTTCTGGCCGGGAATGTCCAAAGATGTTGAGAACTGGATAAGAAATGTTCACGGTGTGTGCTACGGAAGACACCAACAACGCAGCGAGTACCGTTGGTTTCCATAGTGTCGACACAGCCCATGGAGTTAGTCTGCATGGACTATCTTACCCTGGAAACCTGCAAGGGAGGATATTCCTACGTGTTAGTAGTGACGGACCACTTTACGCGGTATGCCCAAGCTATTCCGAATAATATGTCAGCTAAGACAACGGCAGATGCACTACTCAGCTACATCCAGCACTATGGAATACCACACCGTTTTCATTCAGACCAGGGTGCTAATTTTTGTTGGGAGATTATTCGCCCTTTGTGTCAGTTGTTGGACACTGGACAAGTCTAGGACCTCACCATACCATCCCAGTGGGAATGGAACCTTTGAACGTTTTAACAGGACACTAATGAACATGCTGGGGACACTAGACTCAGATCAGAAGAAAGATTGGAAGCATTTCCTG